AAAAAATCGTGTGATGAGATAGCCTTCTGGTAAACCTGACCAGAAATGGGGCACTAGCCAATGGAAATGCCTCAGAAGCTCTGGATGCTGGGATGCAGGAATCCATGAGTATATGTGTATGGTTGAAGGAGAGAATCTGTAAATCACGGCTCTCTTGGGATTATGTGTCTCTTTGTAAAATACCTCCAGTTTTCTCATGAAACATCAATTGACATTGGAAATGAAAAATTTAACTTCTTAGTGTGCCATTCAAATCGAATTATGTATAGCTAATCATTATTTTTGGATGCTTTCCAGGGACAGAGGGGACAGTGTTCAGAATTCTCACAAAAGCTGAAGGCCTCACGGGCGCCGACGTACCTTTAGAATTGGTGTTCCATTTGCCAGTCAGTTACCCTTCGTGTTTACCTGGTATCTCGGTTCACTCCGAACACCTGACCCGGGCCCAGTCAGTGACTGTGAAGGAGAAGTTACTTATGCAAGCAGAGAACCTTTTGTCGGAACCTATGGTCCATGAGCTGGTGCTCTGGATTCAGCAGAATCTCAGGCATGTCCTCAACCAACCAGAAACTGGAAGTGGCAGTGAAAAGTGTACTTCTGCAACTGGCATGACTGTGGATGATGGACTGTGGCTAACTCTTTTGCATTTAGATCACATGAGAGCAAAGACCAAATATGTCAAAACTATTGAGAAGTGGGCTTCCGATTTAAAGCTGACAGGAAAACTGATGTTCGTGGGTAAAATAATACTGATTTTACTACAAGGAGACAGAAGCAATATCAAGGTGCCAAAAAATTTAATGTTGAATATGAATTGGGCTATTTTCTGCTAAAATGGTGTGTCTGTGTGTTTTGTGACAATGGGACAGGTTAATCATTAAGATGTTAATGGATCTCCATTTTTTTAAAGAATGTCTCTAACTTCTAATTACAACAACAAGCTTACAAACCTTGAAGAATAAGTAGATTATATTTTTAAAAATTATTCCACATAATGAAAGGGATAGGTCATTAAAAAAATCTCTATAGTGCATGGATTTTGTTTCTTTAGTTAGCTTTGAGCCTTAACTTTATTAAATGTGCACTAAAAGTTTGTGCATATCTGTATTCCATTCCTCAGGCACAGTGTCTGCCTGTGGGTACTGTGTAACTTTTTGGCAGTTAAAAACATATTCAGACACTTTAATTTGGCTTCTGTAATACCTGGAAAGAGGAGCTGATCCCTCCTAACCAGGATTTAGTGTTAGTGGAAGTAGCATCGTTAGGCTGTCAGCTTGTCACCTCCTACCTAACTTTTGTTTTCCACCTGACTTGTCTCAGCAGCTGCTTTCAAAATCATGATCTTCTTCAGATTCTCCAAGTTCGCACGCTCAACTCACCTAACCTATTTTATGTGGGACCAGACAAGGAAAGCTGCTTATTATATTTTAAATCTTGAAAGCACCACAAATCACTTAATAGGTTTATGCTTTCAGATGGGTTGGATCAAGAATACTTCAATTGAATTTATTCAAAACAGATTTAGTTTGCACAACCTATAATCTGAAAGATTTGTAGAATAACTACCTAGCTTTTTCAGAATGGGTGCTTATCACAATACTTATTTGGCATTTGGTTAACCAGATTAGTGCTGGGGTTATAGCATATAGATACCACAAATAATTAAAGTTGAATCAGTCTTGGTTTGAGGTCTGACCAAAGTACCAGATATTGCAAGGTGATTTATAGTATATCTATAAAACTTGACATTCTGGGTAAACTCCTGGCTGACAGAATGAATACAAATTAATTTCCTTGTTCATATTTCCCTAAAAGGCTCAGATTTTTCTTTAAGCCAGCTCAGGAATGTTAGGTTAAGTGCAGCTGTTTTGCAGATGTCACTCAGATTGGATCCATCAATTGATAAGTATTTATTTCATATGACTAGAACTTTGCTAATATAGAGGAATTGTACTTTTTATTTAAAGAGTTCTTTCTTTTTTATGAACTTTCCCTAAAATGCCACTTAATGTAAATATCTCTGTTAAAATTGTTAAGATTATATATCAGGATTGAGAGTTACAGGTACGTATTTATAGATGTCATCCAATTTGGACTGGTAAGTGCTGTGTGCCTGTTAATTTCTTTCAGATGCAGAAGTAGCCATAACACTACCACTAGCTGGTACTGTTAATTGTGCCAAAGCACTGTGTGCCAGGGTGTCCTCTGTGCGCTTTGCACATATTAACTCTTTTAATCATCACAGCTTCCCATAAGGTAGCTACCGTTCTGCGTACCATTTTATGGAGTAGATTCCTGAGGCACAGAGGGCTTAAGTAACCAGCCTGGAATCAGATATAGGAGGCCATGCAGTCCCGATTTAACCCTGCGTTGTTTGAAGGCCTCCTTCTACCAGCACATTCTTCTGTCTAGTGTAGAAAGACAATGTAGCCCTCTTACTGCTTGATTCAGAAAGAGAGTACTCTAGGCAGGAAAATAAGCCTGCAGGTGCATGGCTTCTTTAAAACTAGGACTTGGAGATTCCGAGTAAGATATGTACTTAATGTACTGATTTATCATTTAGGAGTACCTGCTTCTTCAGAAAACCTCCAAAGTAGATGTGGACTCAAGTGGAAAGAAATGCAAAGAGAAAATGATTAGTGTACTGTTTGAAACAAAAGTACAGACAGAACACAAAAGGTATAATTTAGTACTATTGCAGATGGAAAAGTAACTGAATCGATAATTATACTCTGACAAATCTAGGCATATTCATGAGTTTCTCTTGTATAATGCAGGTTTCTGGCATTTGAAGTCAAAGAATATTCATCGTTGGATGAGTTACAAAAGGAATTTGAAACTGCAGGACTTAAGAAGCTTTTCTCTGAATTTGTGCTTGGGCTGGTAAAATGAAATGGAAGACAGGAATCTTTTAGTCAAACCGCGGTGGTTTTTTGTCTTGTTTTGTTTTGTTTTGTGTTCTACAGTGGATTTTGGGAATGGTTAATTGAAATTCTCGTAAGGAAACAATTTTAAAGTTTCTCTGAAGCAAAATGATAGACACCATTCTAACTTCAGGAACAAAAGCCCATTTTGCTTATGGACTATTAAACTTTAAAAACGCCCATATATTCTAATTTTTGCCAGTAAAGGCTAGGTTTAATAGATGGAATGTTATTTGAAAGATAAATATGAAATGATGGTAAATGAGCCCTTGTGATTATATAGAGGATTTGTTTGGAACTGTGCAATTTTCTAGCTAATTTTCTTGTAATTAAATGAAATTTTTTTAAAGATTTCTTTTCATGTTTACATTTTTAGCATTTGGTCATGATTTTCCTCAATTCAGCTTATTATATCTATGTTTTATATTTAGTATTTTATATTTAAGTTGGATGCTATGAAAAATATAACACTGATTTCTTTGTGCAAGTGTGTAAACTGTTAGTTTAAATACAGACCAAAGAAGTTCTATAGAACTTGACTTTTGATCACTTTCTTTGGGGTCCTAGATAGCATAGTACTTATTAGTACACTAGTTAGTTATAGGACTAGGGAGTCAATTAAAATTAAAGTTAATATTATTATTTTGGGGAGGAGGGGCAGAAGAGGGAGAGAGAGAATCTTAAGCAGGCTCCATAACGTGGGGTGTGCTCTCACGACCCTAAGTTCATGACCTGAGCCGAAATCAAGAATCACATGCTTCACTGACTGAGTCACCCAGGTGCCCCTTAAAATAATTTTTGAAAAAACTTACCTTTGGGTTTTATAAGAAAAGAAATGTTTCACATAAAATGAACTTGACTTGTTAGATGGAGGAAATGATATAGAGATACTATTTTGTATTTCTTAGGAAATCTGTTAAAATATGATAATCTTAAAATATATAATGACCTAAGGAGAGAAGAAGCCATAAAATGAAAGCTTGTATTACAATCTGTAACAAAAGCATAAAGAGGCATTTATGTTTGAGAAAAGGAATTTGTGTTCATAAAGCCAAGTGTGCTTCCAAAATAAGGGGCCAAATGATAGAGGAAAAGGCCATGCAAATCCCTCTCACTGCAATCTGTGAAGTACAGTGATGTCATTATAAAATCATGAAATGTTGTAGCATGCAGGTAATGTTTCTTTCTTTCTTTTTTTTTTTTTTAATTATTATTTTTTTGCAGGGAGGGTTTCTTGACAGTGTTGTTCTGGGGCCTTGATGGTTCAACCTGATTGTCTCACTTTCAGGCACCCTTATAATTAAATTGAACCTCCTATTGATCATCTTACGGGTTTCTAATGAGAAGGGAATTTTGATTCATTTTACCTCATTCCAGGGTATTTATGATTTTTTCTTGGAGAACAGGTAAATGTAGTTAGGTTGTTCTATGGGAACAGCAGATGGCAAGGAGAAGCTAGGCTACTGGTATGCTCAACTGAAAATAGGCTGGAAAATGTAGGGCTACTGCTTCATTTGATTTACTAAGTAAGGAGATTAAAGGTTATTACCATCAAGGCTGTAACAGTAAAAGTAGCAGGGGGCTGGTCTGAATTTTATCACAACAGAACAGCTAGTCCTTTATTTTACTTTGATTCTTCTCTGTTCAAGTGTTTTCTGCACCATGCTTTGTGGCTCTCCCAACTTTCATCTTCAGATTTGACCCTCTACACCTAGAGAAGAACTTGAATCAGGCAAAATTGAATATTGGTAGTGACTTTCTCCAAATTAATTAAATTTCTATTTGCTAAAATTATGTTTAAAAAGTATTAGTTATGATTACTTTCTTGAATGTTTACATCTGAGTCTTTCACAAATATACACATCAGAATGCAAAACTAACCTTGACAGTATTAGAGACTTATATAAATTTATAAATTTATAAATCTCTGGATAAAAGAAAATTTAAAATGATATGCAAAAAATATTTAAGAGTCTTTCTGATATTTTCTTACCAGAGAATTGCTTCCGTTGATATTTTTACCTCAAACTCTTAATGCTTTCTTTTCAGCCCGAGGTACTTATGAAAAGATCATTAGGACTCCCGGAAGACAGAAGAGGTGAGGCCAAGGGCTGGGACCCCTGAAGGACTACACTATAATTGAAGCGTAAATAAATTAATTGTCCTAGCTAAACTTTGAGGATTCTGTTAGGTCCAGAAAGTCTTAAACTTTGAATTTGGATTAAAGTAATCCATGATTCTAATGCCGCCATATCCTCCAGATCTTTGGAGAAAGATAACATTATCCTAGGCATCAAATTTTATCTATTTAAAAATTTTAATATTATTTTATTTTAAATTCAATATCCAGCAAATTTTAAATTTTAAAATTCAATATCCAGCAAATAATCAGATAACTGGACTCATCAAGAGACAAGATATTATCAGCGAGAAGCAACAGAAAAAATAGACAATAGAAATAGAACCACAGGGACTCTACATGCTGGAATTATTGGACATAGATCATGGAACAGTTATGCTTAGTATATTCTAATAGACAAAAGCCAAACTTGGAACTGGTATTAGAAACCATAAAAGGTGACATGGTATATTTGTATTTGAAAAATAACAAAATAAAAAACAAATAGAAATTCTAGAACTGAAAAATAAAAGAATTAAAGAAATAGTTAATAAGTTAAAGCCCAGTTAGGAAATCAGAAACCAGCTTAGGTATTTCAAACAGTGAATTTAAAACAGGAATTGGTTAGAAGGCTGGAAGAGCAAAAAGGAGAAGGAATGGGACTGGATGACAGAAAAGAAAAAGAGGGGAGGGTGATGTTCTCAGAGTTCAGAAATGGCCAAGAGTGTATTCCTGCTGCTGCACTTTAAAAACTGTTGTAATTGGTCCCAGATCTGCTCACTTGGTGCTGCCTAGACCAGAGCTAAAGGTGCTGATAGGTACTATCTCTGGTCTGTTGGAATTGCCACTTGCTACCACTACAGCAAATGCCAGCAACTATCACAGTGCCCTGTGCTGCCTTCAGATCTTCCAGCAGTTCCTCCAAAATTGACCAAACCAACAGGAATCCAGCTGGCAAAGAAGTCTGGGAAATGTAGTTAGAATATCCCGACCCAGAAGAACAGCAGAATAGAGGAGGATGTGTATGTGTGTGTGTGTGTCTGGGAAGTGAGGGGAGAGACCCAAATGCCCATAGGAGGTAACCAGCACAATCTTCCTTTTAGCTATTAAGCATTCCCACTTACTCCCTACCCATATTTAAATTTCTGTACAATTTTTATGCTTCCATCTATGCAGACTTAGCTATATTTTGCACAAATGAAGAGATTTTTGCCTTTTCCCTCAAAGGGGGAGAACTAAAGTCCCATCAGTTACTATTATACTCACCAGTGTTAATTCTTCTAGTTCAATCACAATTCCACAATTCCACCTGGATATTCTGTAACCTGAAGATGAAACTATAAAGTTCACCACCACCACCATCTCTTATATCTAACTTGAGGGAAGGAAGGGGAAGAACTTGAGGGAAGAGGGAAGGAAAAATAGTTAATAAATACAAAGATAAACAGAACAAACAATGAAGCAAATTTTCATGAGTACTTTGGTACTTCTATAACTGGTCATGAACCTATAGCTGGTATTTATAACTTCTTCCTCTACTCTTTGCTCTCGGTCAGCACTTCTACTGGTCAAGTCTCTCTACCTAGCATAGTGGCCAGAACTTCATTTCGGAAGGATCTAAGTCCTCAGTAGTTGAGTTGCTTATTAACTTTGACTATAGAACAAGAAATATTAAGAGGCAACCCAGGATTTCCTGGGGTCCTGACATAGTTCTTATTGACCTCACTGTATATCAGTAACCCAATTTTGCTGGATCTGGATCAGCACCCCAGCCACAATGGGAATGTCTTTCTTTGCTTGTTGGTTTAGTATCATAAGGAGCCTAATATATTTGAGTGTCAGTCTCAACTTCCAACTGATTTGAGCCATTTTGCGTGCCCTGGAAGAAACATTCTTTCCATGGGAACTAAGATTGCCAAATCAGCATAGCCCAAGTTTACAGAGGTGAGAATAAAAAATTCTGTGAGTGGATTATTAAATATAATATGGATAGAAGTCCATCCTATTGTTATTCCCTGATTTCTGGATCCTCATATTCTGGAAGTGGGAGAAATACATCTTATACTGATCACTGAAGCAAAATACTTTTTTATCTTGTATAATAGTACCTCGGCCTTTCAGAATCTTGCCTCCCAGCTGGCCAAGTAACTGAGTCTTTTGTAGGTCACTATATTACTTTATCAAGCTGGCTACTTCTGTGTGATTTGGTACATGGAAAGACCTATGAATTTCATAGTCATGAGCCCATTGCTACATTTCTTTTGTTGTGAAATAAATTTCTCATTTAGATGTTGTATTGTGTTCTCACAATGTCTATAATATTCTGGTTGGTAGTATTATAGGAAGGGACTTCTGATTCATATCCAAAATAAGGCTTTCATGTTTTTATAAAAACAAATTGCTGGCCCTTCCACTAGAGAAGAGATCCAATGTGATTAACTAGCAACCAGGAAGCTGGTATCTCCCAGGAAGTGAGGCCCTACTGGTGGCTCAGCATTGATCTCTGTTCAGAGCAGGTTAGGCACTTACCAGTGATAACAGCAAGGTCAGTATTGGTGAGAGAAATTTTACGTTGCTGAGCCCATGTATAACTTCCATCCCTGCTGCCACATTTGCTTTGTAGAAGAGCCCACTGAGCAGGCACAGGGATGCTAGGGAAAGAAAGTGACCGATGTCTACAGGATGAGTCAACCTGTCCATTTGATCAATGAAGACTTTCTTCAGAGTGGTTGCCCTTTGATAAGCATCACATGGGACACAAATATCCCCATATTTTGTGCTCATCCCTAGGCGTCCATTCAGGTATCTCTGCCTCATCTCCTTGTCATTAGTCTTCTGATCTCATTCTTTCAAAGTGACTGATTTTCTGGCCAATCCATTAGCCACTGCCCATGAAATACTGTAGATCTATACCATGGATATTTCTTTACCTAGACAAGGTAGATAGCCAGAAGTACTGCTCCAAGTTCTGCCCACTGAGAAGATTTCACTTTAACCTTTCAGAGATAATCTAGATTGGAATGGTAATTGCTGAAGCATATTGTGAAGGACCATCTGTATTGCAGGCCTGAGTTCATTCTTCCTTGGTTAACAAGTTATGGGTGCTGCTCATGACACAAGAAGAATCTCGTGCAATAGTTGCTATAAGCATCTGAGCCACTTGATCACGAAGCTTGCCTGTGCCTTCAGGACCTGCTTGAGCTTGATCTTGCACACATCACTTCATTGTACATACTCAAATTTAAGATTTCATGGATGAAATGATACCCAGTTCATGATATAGGTAGCTTGGGTCACATGGTCAGTTGGTATTCCACAGTCAAGTGTTCAATCTCATCCAAGATCCAGGAGCAGGCTAGGAGGTCTTTTTTAAGAGAAGGATACTTATACATAAAAGAGCATGGCTTTGATTTAAAACCTAAGTTCCACTGTGCTTGTGAGGGGCTCTACATAACATCACCACAGGCCATAACGCATTGAGCTTCATCGGGTCTTCTGGGTTGCAAGGTCCACTCAGCAAGCAACTTGTACTGCAGTTTGGATCTGTAACCTTTTCCTGTTTTGGGCCCCACTCAAAACAGGCAACTCCATGGGTTAATCATCAAATGGGCAGAAAATCACATTGAAATACAAAATATATTGCCTCCAGGATCCAGAGATGCCTAGGAATCACTGTACTTTAGTGGCAGGCATAGAAGGGGAAGCAACTTGGGATATCCTGGGATATACCTGACAACACTGGAGCCCTAAAAACTTCATCATGCTGTTGGGCTTCTGAATTTTTGTAGGTTTTTATCTCCCTCTTTTGGATAAGGTATTTAGAGTACTTGCTAATTTCTGTTTACTGGGTCTACTGGCATGATGTTCAGAGGGATGTTAAAATGAATGAAGTCCTTGAATACTGAATTATGACCCAGAGCCAGAGCTGTGATATAGTCCCAAAGTAAAATATAGTTGTGAAGTCAAAGTGTCAGGCTGTACTTGCTAAGTAAAAACAAACTGCTTCTAATGGGCTTTACGAATTGATATCAAGAAGAAGCATTTGCCAGATCCAGACCTGGATACCAAGTACTCAGGACTGTGTTGATTTGTTGCAGGATGAGACCACATCTGGAATAGCAATTATGATTGGAGTCAATTATCTACCTAAATTTGATATTCTACAGCCATTCTCTGAGACCCATCTGCTTCTCCCAAGCCCAGTTGGTGAGTTAAATGGGGATGTTATAGGAATCGCATTTGAAAAGGACAGAACATGGTCCTGGAACAATTGGTTACCTACATGGAGGAAAAACAATTTTAATTTTGCTCCTACCTAACATCATAACCAAGATTAATTCCAGATGTATTAGAGACCAAAATCATGTATTTTGGAAAGTCAAAAATATTTTAGAAGAAAATACGGAAGCGTATTTTCTTGACCTTCAGATCCTAGTGTTAAATGAGACACAAAAGCAACATCTTGAGGGGAAAGATTGGTAAATTGGGCACCATTAAAACACTTCTGTTCATCAAAAGATATCATTAAAGATCACGGAGAGGTAAGGGACAGAATGGGAAAATGCGTTTAACATTTAATTGATACAGGTCTCATTTCCAGAATATTAACAATTAGACAACCTGGTAGAAAAACAGGCAAAAGAATTTTGAATAGATACTTCACAGATGAAACTATCCAAATGGCCAAAACAGTATGCAAAGGTGCTCAATGTCATTAGTAATCAGGGGGAATGCAAATTAAAACCACAGTAATACCACGAGCCACCCACTAGAAGAGCTAAAATTTAAAAGATGGATAATAATGAGAGTGGACAAAGAAGTGAAGCAATGCCAACATTGACACTCCCTTGGCAGGTGTATAAACTGACCCAACTACTTTGAATGAACAGTTTGCTATAATCTGGAAAAACTGACAATCCCATATCCTATAACCCAGCATTTCTGCTTCTAGGTATATACCTCACAGAAACGTGCACAAACATGAGATTTCATACATTTTTGTATGAAAAATGCCCATAACAATATTATTTTTATTAGACCAAATGAAGCAACCCAAATACCCATCAACAAAGAATGGATGAGTTAATTGTGGTATACTCATGCAATGGAATACAGTAGGGCAAACTAAGGGAGCAAAGTATAACCACATAGAACAATATGGATTCCTTTTATAAAAGCAAGAATGCTCGAATGAAGTAATCTCAAAAGAATATGTGCCATATGATTCTAAAAGTTCAAAAGCAGGCAAACAGCACTCAATTACAGATGCATATTCCCATGCTAAAACTCAAAGACAAGCAAAGCAGTTGTTATACTAGAAGTCAGCATGGCAGTTACCTGCAAGGACGGGGGGAGGGATGGCGTTGTAGTTGGGGTTGCATGTAAAGATTTGTTTTGTTTTGTTTTTGGAGGGGGAGGTAGCTATGTTCTCCTTCCTGACCAGGTGCTCATTTCTCAGACATTTCGTTATAGTCATTCATTAAGCTCTATTCTTACTTTATTATTTATTTCTTGATTTTTCTTCTATAAAAGTAAGCTTGGCTTTTAAAAATGCCAGAGTTCTTACAATATTTTTAGTAAATAAAAATATTGAAGGTAATTCCTGAATCTTTATAATTAATAGCAATTTCTCCAATCTTAAAGCTTGGCTCAGCCGTGTAGAAAATTTGGAAGGTAGGTGCAGGAAGATAGGCTATTTTAAGTAGAGTTGTCAGGGCAATCTTCTCTAAGTGGACGGCCTTTGAACCAATACTTGAATGAAAGGGACCAAACCCTGGGAAAAGTAGGCAGCAGAGAGTTCCAGGCAGTAGGAACTGTAAGTGCAGAAGACCCGAGGCCTGAAGGCACATGGCCTGTTTGAAATAGATTCAACTGAGTGAAGATTACTTTTGCAGTGGAAGTTGTACGTCTACCTGTCTCAGCATGCCAAATGATCTCAGTCTTACTTCAGGTATGCTAACTCTATGAGACTTCTGCTTGCTAGCATTGCTTTTGACCCCTTAATTTGCTGTTTTCTACTTATTTTTATACAAGATGGAGAACACAGCATTCAAATACTTGTACACGTAGAGCTATATAGGATGAAGAGGTTAACAATTTTGGAATTGTGGTACAATAGCTTAATTTTGTCTGTCAGTTGATGCACCAATGTCTGAATTTGATAAATGAATAACTGCATTTCAAGTGTCACTACTATAGAATGCGTAGGGCAGAAAAATATATTTGAAATAAACAGATTAAAAATAGGAGCAATTCCCCCATATTATGAAAAACAGACAAAAGTGTCTAAAGATGGTAAAACTGCCAGTGATGTACAAAAATGATCAAGAAATGAGAGAAGTTGGGGAATAGAATCTTCACTTTGGATCACTTTGTCATTTCAGCTCATCTAATGCCTAAGTCGGTTTGCTTTCCTCCCTTTGGTTTGAGACTAGATTGCTTTTTTTCCAAACAACTGGATTGTAGGTTTCAATTTCTTCAGATCATCTGAAGTGATGTTGCTTTTCTCCTTCCATCCCTCTTGGATTAGTCAGGGTTCTCCAGAGAAACAGAGCCAATGGGGTATGTATTTACCCATTTTAAGGAATTGGCTCAAGTGATCATGGAGGCTGGCAAACCCCAAATTTGTGGAATGGGCTGGCAGGCTGGAGACTTAGTAAGGGCGGATGTTGTAGTTTGTGTGTCAGTGTGGAGCCCTGGGGAAGAGCCAGTGATGCAGCTGAAGTCTGCAGGCAGTCTCCTGGCAGGATCCCCTCTTCCCTGGGGGAGGTCAGTCTTTTGTTCTATTCCCATTTCCAACTGATTGGATGAGGTCCACCGACAGTATAGAGGGCAATCTGCTTTCTCAAAGTCCCTCAATTCAAATGCAGATCTCATCCTGAAACACCATCACAGGACCAAACATCCAGAATGATGTTTGGCCAAATATGCCCGCAGTGTGGCACAGCCAAGTTGACACATGCAATTAGCCGTCACACCTCTCAAGAAGCCATCCATAGCTTTGCTTTTAGAGGTGAGGAATGTGGCTTTCAGTTCCTAGCTGCTTAACTCATTGTGGTCTCTTACCATGTACCAAGGCTACAAAACATTGAAGACTGCTGTGAATTTGTAGTAGCATTGGTAAGAAAGATACCATTTACAAAGCAAGTTAACAACTTGACAAACTATAGTTTTCTTTGGCCTGAATGGCTCCTCTTGAGTCAGAATTGGCCACAGTAATAAATTCCACAAAAAGCTACATTTCTACTAGCCTAGGAGTATAAAATATATAGACTCAAAGACGTATATTGATTTTTTAAAAATAGTGAACTCACCTGCTTTGGGACAACTTTCTAGCATTCTAAGCTTGTGTTTGCTTAGTTCATTGTTATGAAGGGTTATTGCGGGGAGGGGGGGTGGTGGTTCTGGAATTGTAGTCCTTTCTATGTGAACTCCAACCTAGTTTTTTTCTGATGTGTTAGACAATCCTGTTTCTTCATCACCGGGAGAGAAATGAACCTCTGCTAATCTTTAGTAATAGACCTTTCATGCAATGAGGAAAGCTCTGTTGTAAAGTGCTAGTGACTTCCAAATTTCCATGCATGGAGTTTTTCACTTCTTTATTACTTGGGAATTTTATCCATTTGCATATCGCCTTTCTGTAGCTGTGGCTCAAGTTTACACCTCAGGTCCTGACCTCTCTCCTGAACTCTACACACCCATTTCTAACTCTGCCTGATATTACAACATAGATGTCCTGCCAACACCTTAAATCCACTATGATGAAAACAAACGATCCCATTTTTTGCTGTTGCTGATATTGTAACCAAAACTGTCACTGGTTCCCAGGATTAATCTTGGATTTTCCATTGACTTCTTTCTTACTTCTTTGCATCCAGTTAGCTGCCAAATCTAGTTCCTACTGACACTTACATTCTCCCATCTTTTCCATTTTCATGGTTACACTGTATGTCAGGTTCTTTTTTTTTCTGAAGAGGACTATTGGAGGTTTCCCATCTAGTGTTCTCATCTCTGTTCTCCCTTTGACCCATCCTATACATTAATAATCCCTCATATAAAACTTGGGGTCAGATGTGTTTCAGAATGCAGATTTGTCTTTTCCATTGTTGGAGTTTTAGAAAGGTAATGTGGAGAAGATACTTTATTTTACAGTCTCCCTAATCGGGACTGGGACAATGTCCTGTAGCCAAATCTTATTTTTCTGCAGTGAAATATGAATATTTACTTTAAGTAGGATTAATAAAAAGTATAAATAGGCTTGTATTGTTCATGTTAAACTTTAATGCCAAATGAGTTCAGATAAGATTGGCTTTTGCCTCCAAGTAAAGTATCAAAAAAGAATGAAAACAACATCCTGCATTTTTGATTTTTAGAATTTTTGCTTTTGAAATTGTGGAAAAGACTTGGTAGATCTTAGCTAGGTAAATCTTCCTCAGGTAACCCGATCACTCTCATTTCCTACTAGGTTAGTTGTAAACTCTTTGCTCTGCTATTTTCAAATGCCTTCTCAGTTTGACCACAAAGCATTGTTTTCTGGTTTTGTCTCCCACTCATCTTCTACATACCCTTTTGACCTACCTAAACTGGTTAAATACTTCTTATTTTTTCTTCTGCATATACTCAGGCTCATCATTCCTGAAATGTCCTATCCTCTTGTCCTTTCTTCTGCCAACTATCTATTGATCTTTTTTCTGTCTTCAGAATGTTTCCCTCTATAAACTGTTTGATCCCCATTCTGGGATCAGTGATTGTTCTTTAGTCTAAATTCTTGTAGTAAGCTTTAATTTTCCCATACGGGAATGGGGGTAATCCCACTTCCTTATAATCCTACTTCCTTACCTCCTACAGGTAAATCAGTGGATTAAATAATGTTATAAGTGTGCCTAGCATGGTTGTAAACCCATAGTAGTACTCAGTTGAGGTTGGTTCTTCCTTTTTCTTCTCCTCCTTTTTCTTCCTTGCTTTTTCTTAGTATATTCTGTACTTTATATTATAGTTTTAAATGTGCTTTTATTGTCCCCACTATTAGAATGGGAGTTTTCTGAGGGTAGAAACTTACTTATTAGAAGCTCAGCAAATATTGAGTTATGTGAAATGAATACAAATGGTTACTAGAGAAATTTCATCTCCTCCTTTGGATTCTGGAAAGACTAATTTGTGTGTCTATGAGTGTGCATTTAAAAACCCAAAACAGGGGACGCCTGTGT